GTCACTTTATCACTCGGTGACGTCTGGTGGCTCCGCTAAACCCCATTCGGGGTTGCTCACGCAGCAAGGTCCATTGGGGCAGGGCATGGCGGGAGCCTCGGTCTCCGACCTCTCGGCCAAAAGAGCGACTCCCCCCTAGTGCGCCCTAAAGCGCCCCGGATCCGAGCTCCTCTCTTCCTGAGGGGCTCGTTCGGGTCTCCGCTCGCGCGGATTCCCTCCTCCACCGCGGGCAGGCGAGGCGCCCTCGGGAGCAACCCGAGGATGCGTCCGCCATTCGCGGGAGCCAGACCGGAAGCCCCCTAGCTGACACTTCTAAAAAGCGCCATTTCAACAGTAAAATATAATACTCTCACAATACAACAAACTGAAGAAGGGTGGGATATAAATCGAAATAATAAATAAATAAATAAGAACTATAAGAGCTAGTGAAAGACGTCCTTTCTCTATGGTGGTAAAGAGAGAACTGAGGGAAGGCGTACTCTCCTCAGCCTTGTCATGTGCTGGTTTGGGTGGGAAAACTCCAGCTCATGTTGGAGCAGGGGCAGGGGGTGCTCCACAACCTGGAAAGAACTAGAAAGCTTTAGAACTTTCTTTGTGGCTGGCCTGTGCACTCATGGTCCCCATGTGGGACTGCACAAAAGCCACAAAGATGAACCCTCTTTTCTTTTGTTCAAACTGTGCTTTTGAGACATAGGGGTCCAGAAAGAGAAATATGCCAGAATTCAGAGTTTGCCCCAAGGAAGAGGTATCAACTAGGATACAGTGCGGATGGCACAGGATGGCAATGATACACAGGTAGGAGTGCTGGATCCTACTTTGGAAATATCTGGAGATATTGGGGTTGGTGTTTAGCAAGGATATGATGTCACTTTCTGATATGTCCTATGATGTTACTTCTAGGTCAAAGGTGATGTCTCTTCTAAAAAATGGCCATTCCTATGATGCGACTTCCAGGGCGCTCTTTCAAACCCACCTGTGAGGTCACTGTCTTTCACCAGTCACTGGCAAAAGTGACTTTGGATTTCAGCCTATCATGAAACTGACTGGCCTAGAGGAGGACCAGAGAAAAATAAGACAGCAGGTAT